GCTATTTAGGGTGACCATGTTATATGAATTAAACTAGGATGATTCATTTTTGAAATTTAATTTTTCGACAATATTCGGTACAAAGATTCTTCATAGGTTTAGGATATTTAGTATCTAGTCAATTTCGACATAAGTTAAAGAATGAATTAATATTGGTTGGTCGGTGCTTCTATGAATTTTACAGTGAGAATCATAGTCGTCATAACAAAACATCTCATCATTCGCTGGGTAGTGACATTTATAGTGACCCATTCCAGCTTCGCTAATCGCAGGGATAAATTCTATAACGCCTATTAAAGTATATAAGCTACTTGAAATCATTATAGTTTCTGGTACCTCGTTTACTCTAAACCTCGTAGAAACATTTAGTTCAAATGACACTGTTTTTGCTACAGTATATTTACACACTGTTTGGTGGTTACAAGATGTGCAAACGTTATTTTCTTCTACAATACAAATTGCCTCTTCTAAACTTTGGATTCCAAAAACACAAATTATATTCAGATTTAAAGGCAAAAAAGCGATCTGTCTAGATATTGGGGTAAATTCGCATGAATCATTAGTACACTTCTTATTCCAAATTGCACTAAAACAATACTTCAAAGCTATATGTTCAAAAATGAAGGACACATTGCAAGCAAATTCACAGCGGCTGTCTCTTCTATCAAAATACAGCACGCCGATTTCCGATCTCATTCTGTATATATCACAGTCACTAGAACCAGGATCTGATAAAAGTTTAATATATTGAGGAATTAAATCGTCAGAATATGTGTTTATTATTGCTTGAAAATTTCTACTTTGAATATATGCCACACATAAAAAATGCATGACTGAATCAAAGCAACACGTGTTTTGCAAACCCACTTTAGTGGAACTTTTGCCGATAGTTACAGCATCGCATAAATTGCCATTTTTTACAAATTTTATTTTTAATTTTGTTGATATCACATTAGTTTCTGCTTCACCTCTCCAATTTTCGACGAAGGAAGGACGATCAGAAAATATTGATTCAGTAGTAAATGACCGATTAATTTTCTTTGATCTTAAAGATTTTGATATTTTTCTTTTTTTCACCTCCGTTTGAGATTTTGTAAGTGAATGCTTCCTTTTTCGAGGGCGTTTAGTATCTTTATTCTGTGTATCATTAACAAGATCACTTGTAGCAAGTGCAATTTCTGTATTCAAGTAATTAGAATGTATTTTTACAAATTCATCAATTCGGTACTTTAGTAATTTTGTTTTGAAAAGCAATTGTTTCAAAGTTTTGAAGTAGCTCTCAATTCCTGACGATGATGGAGCAGTATTATCAATTTTGAAAAATGGACATAACAGATTAGACCACAATGGAAGTTTTCCAAGAATTCTTCTAAATTCAGGTATAAATGGTGGATAAAAATATAAATTTTTATTGATTTCTTTAATTTTCATTGATTTTTGTCGCAACTGAGCTATTTTATCATCCAACCAAACAAAAAAATCAATACCCGCAGTATGATATTCTTCAGTTTTGTAAATTAATTGGTCGTCATCCATACAGCTGAGTTTCACCGTATGATCTAAGTCAATATTTTTCAATCGCGCCATAAGCCTGCTTAAGGAGGTTTGACAATCGGAACTTGTACTGGTAGTCAAATCATCATCGTATTGACAAAGGCAAACCCTAATCATATCCAAGATGACTTCTTTTGCGATTTCAAAATCTTCACATTTTTTTAAAAACATAATGCAGCGAATATAAAAATATTTTATGCGTGGATCTACATCATTAAAACATTTTAGGTTGTGCAAAGTTTTTATGAAATGACTAGAGTCCAGTCTGATAAAAGTAGAGGGGACGTCTGAAGTCTCTCCTTCTAAAATTGAAAATAGGTTCTTTATATACTCTTTTGTACTGCTAAACACCGTAAAAGCTTCAGTACTAGCGGCAACCAGGGCAGAAGAATCGTCAGAAATAATTTCGTGAGGTGTTCTATGAATTGAACGTTTCCATTGATTTAGCCAATATAATATAGATTGCTTGCCGTGTGCATCGGTGACCATTTGTAATACGGGCACAGATTTTAATTTAAGATTTCCTGTTATAAGACCTGCATACAGAAATAGTCTTTTGGTGATCTTTGTTCCATCAGCGAGGCGCATAGTTTGAAAAAATGAGCCAGTAGCGTCGATTGTAAGAGTAACTCTTTCAAATTTCCGTAGATATTGATTATAATAATCAATTTGTTCTTCGCTCCAATAATAAACAAAGAAGTCAGGGTGTACGCTAAGACTGCGGATTTATTTTTATGTGTACTTTTCGCCATAGCCAATAAAGATATAATCGGATTAGAATCAAACCACTGTCCTTTCCGGACCTCAGATTTTATTTGACGTAAAGCAGCAAGAGAAGGCAACGCTGGTATACTTGAAACCTCATTTTCATCTTTTTTATCGCCTATGATTGTTGAGGCTAACTCATTATGAACTACTATTGCAGATTTGTACTTTAATATTTTTGCTAATTGTTGTCTTTTATAGGGCGTTAATTTAAATTTCTTTTTTGGGTTATGTTTGATATTTTTATCTATATTGGTAATTTTACAGAAAATTGTGTGTATTTTGTCTGTAGTTGCATAACTTTTTATCTGAACGCATGCCGTACACTGGGAACAATTACCTTTCACAGAGATTTTATTATTAACAACCTTTTCGCGCTTTAAGGTCCAAGTGCAAGGTAACTTTGTATATTTATAAATGTTTTCCTTCAACAAATTACTCCATTTGAACTTTGGCATTGTCCTGTATTTCTTATAGGTGTTAGTGCCTGTTCTTCTCTGGTATGCATATAGAGGCTGAATTTTTTTCCAGTCATACAAATCCATTTCATATGAAAATGTTTTTGTTTCTTTTTGTTTACTGTTCTCTAAATCAAAATCGTTATCTTCAAATGATGCGTTTGTTAGACAACTGCTATTACTAGCACTTTTAATAGTATGGCTTTCACCAGTTGTCTGTTTCACAAGAAGTGAATCGTGATATTGAAAAAAAAAGTGACGGTTGCGTTTCAATGATATAAACAAAGCTAATGGGGACATTTTAAAATTAAGTTCTTTAGAGATGGTTAAGAAAATTCGATCACTACTTTTAATGTTGGAATTTTGTAGTATCTCAGCATATTTAGTAAAAACTTGTTTTTGATCTTCAAGATCTACCTTTGATTTACGACCTTTCGGCATAATAGTTCTGAAACAATGACATTCCTAACATAACTTATACTATTCTTTATAAAGTTAACTAATAATAATTGATACAATATAGGTACTTACATTCCCAACAGGAAATCAAAGTGAAGTTATCAGTCACTTATTATGCACTATTGCAGCAGCAAATAGTATCCTCACAAGTCAACAATTATGACGTGATGAATATTAATAATAATATAGTTTAGGAACAGAAATTAAACTTAAATATGTGCGCAAACAAGTGAGCTCCGTCGTTAATGAATGTCAGATTACTAAATAAATATGAGGGTAGATACTTTCGACAATAATTTTCAGTTACCCTCAAATGAGATAAATAAATTAAATTGGATTAACTTAGGAATAATCTTTGTACCGAATATTGTCGAAAAATTAAATTTCAAAAATGAATCATCCTAGTTTAATTCATATAACATGGTCACCCTAAATAGCGAATTCGTAAGGAATATTCAGAAGTGATTTGTTTTTCAGATACCGAACATATACAATGTTGATCTGTGCATATGTATTTAGTAGACCGTTTATACTAAATGTTAGTGTCTCTGGTATTTTATTCCGTTTTGATCTCAGGTAGGTACAGTCAATTATTTATTATGCAGACGTCACGATTGAGGAGCCAAATGAAATGCATTTATTAATTAAATTCGCTCAGTCTACTACTTTGTCCATATACTACAAATTCGAACACACTTACTACTAAATGTCTTTAGAGTGGAATATAAATTGACCAATAACTTTCATGGCAATTCATGCTCTTGTGTATAGATCGAGGAGCCACATTAAAAGTATTGTATATTCTTGAATATAAACAATACTAGGCTCAAATTTTTAGTAGACACTATACACAATTGCTACTAAATGATACAAAATTTTCAAAAATATACATGAAATACTTTCCGTGTTTCAGGTGGCTCCTCAATTCAGATGTTTGGATTGAGGAGCCACATTCACAGTTACATAACTTTAGACATATTATACTACAAATTTCAGAATTCGGTCTACAAAATTATTTACTTCCCTACTAAATAAGGGGGCGAGCTTCCTTTTTAAATCGAAAGTGGCTCCTCAATCCATACGGACATCAGGTTTTACATATAAATTTTAGACTTTTTTTTTTTAGATAGTAAGATTTATTTTGTAATCTGGCTTTTTACACCAAATAAACATTTTTATTATTTATTATTATTATAGTGATTCTTGTATGAATTACTCATCAGTCATCCTTACTGCATCATGCTTATTTTTCAATGAAGGTATACATGGCGGTCCTTCTAATACATTCATGCTTCTCCAGTTGTTATATTCAGACTATTCACTTAGCAACAGATACAAGTATATTGTTACAGCAATGGTTACACAATAAAACAACAGGTTCAATTAAAAAGCCAGTCATCCTTTATTAAAATTTAACAATGCCATTAAAAATTTTGGAACAGGGCCAATTCAACATCACTCAGGCACTTAGGTACATTACAAATTACACATCCAAATCCACTAGGGACTAATATAAACTTACATTACAGTCAAAACATAATTTTTTAACAATTTACAAGTATAATTTTTCAAAATTCTCAGGAGTAGACAGAGATGACCACACATCTAGCACAACACCACTTGTTTTTCATTTCATAATAGAAGATAATAGGAATGTTTTTTTTTCAGACTTTAAACTGTCAAACACCAAGCGGTCACCGGTGACCGCGACCCATTGTTCTTTAATTGTGTCTATAAAACCGGTACTCGACGAGTTAAAATGTGATTCAATAGGTTCCCACTTTACTATGAAGTTAGAACTGGTACACAGTAGGTGTTGCATTTTACATGTGTCCATCTCTACCCATTCCTTTGCAGAAACTGTGATTTTGGTCAAATTAAAGTTGTATCAACTAACATTAATACTCCTGTGATGAGCTATTAGTGTTATGTTGACTTTTCATGTTAGTTTTCTTTGGTAAAAGTTTTTGTTCTATGTGTGGTATTACTCCGCCCTGTGATATAGTTACACCGTCCAGCATTTTGTTCAGCTCATCATCATTTCGAACAGCCAGTAAAATATGACGAGGTGAGATTCTGGAAAAAAATAACAATTTTTTTTAAGCCTTGTGAAGGTAGATACACAAATACTACACATTTCAGTATTGCTGCAAAACCAATACAGAATAACTACTTAGATGTGTTTTAGAAAGGTGTAACAATCTAACTTTACATTTTCTAACTGGTATAAAACAAAAATTCTTTAAGTATCTTAATTTTTACCTACCTAGTTCTTTGGTTATCATCAGCTGCTTTGGCAGCCAACTCCAATATCTCGGCCGCTAAGTATTCAAGCACAGCACTCAAATAAACTGCTGCCCCTCCGCCGATGCGAGGTGCATAGTTACCGTTTTTTAGAATTCTATGAATTCTGCCCACAGGCATACTTAAGCCTGCCCGGGTACTGCGAGATTTAGCCTTAACTCTCGTTTTACCATTTTCTGTAACAGTTTTAATAGTAAATTATCACGGCTACACTAGAAAATCTACATGATAATGATGTTATCGAATGAATACTTACCACTTCTAAAGATGGGCATATTTGTAATGAATAGTAATTTTGAAACACGCAAATAACAAATTATTCGGTCAGTTGGAGATGAGCTGTTTCAAAATTATTCAAAAGCACTACTAATTTGAACAGATTCTCTAAAAGGCAACACAATGCTGATTTCTTAATTTTAAATTTATTTTATTTTCGGTTCGGATTTCATTTCACTGTTTAGAATTTGACAGAATTAATAGCGGGAAAATTTACATTCGGATACAATTCGTTTATGGTTCGGTTGAGTTCGGATACTAACAATACTACAAACAACTTAAATAGTTTGCCTTTATTTAAGAATGATGGCGAATGTTGAGGAATTTTCAATATTAAAACTATGACAACAATCGATGAAAGTACGTTGAATGTCATCACGCTATGATTCTATGATAGCGATTTTGCGAATCGTTTTTTGTTAAAAAATTACTAGATTGGAATTTAAGTAAAGAACAATTCGGAGTAGTGCCCGACCCGACTAATTATATTTCGAGTACCTAAAAAGTGACATATTTTATCAAATTGTGTGAAATTATTATTATACTAGCGACCCGCCCCGGCTTCGCACGGGTGCAATATGTATATTCATACAAACCTTCCTTAAGAATCACTCTATCTATTAAAAAAAACCGCATCAAAATCCGTTGCGTAGTTTTAAAGATCTAAGCATACATACGGACATACAGCGAAAGCGACTTTGTTTTATTCTATGTATTGATTTTCGCTTGAATAGTGGCTATGACGAGTAGAAATCGTATTATCATATATATATTATCTGCCAAAAGTCCAAAATAAACGATTTTATGTCTAGAATAAGAATAATTTACTTTATTAGTTAGTTTTGGATTTTATTTGTTTGGTACGTACCTGTGACGCCCTTGTTGATTTTCATTTATAAATAGCAAACAGAACAATTTTACCGACAAACCGCAATTGTTATTTTGTCTTTATTTCTACAATTATATTCTATTTAATAAATGTTGTCTCAAAATTGAATTTACAACTATATTTACGTTAAAAATAAATACTTTTATGACTTCTCAATCTGTAACACGGTATTAAAATTTCTGAACGATTGTGTTTGTGTCTATTGCCAATTTATTTGTCATTTGTCTTTCTTGTCAATCTGTAAACTAAAACTCTAGATGCAATTAAATTGAACGTGTCGGCGTTTAACAAAATTTGGTCGAAACTGGACAACATAATTAAGATTGAGAATTGTGCTACATACCTTTTGCTTTAGATGGATGTGTTTATATTTAAGATTTACCAATAATACTTTTACGTACTTAGATATTGTACACCAACAGTGGTACTTTTAGGTTAGGAATTGATTTTAAGAGAAAATGAATACAAACAGACCGTGGATGAATAATAAACGTGATCGCAATATGCGAGGAGGTTTTAGAGGTGGCCGAGGAGGCCCAAGAGGGTGGTCCGGGAATCAGAGAGGTTTTAAAAGTTCGTGGGGTAGCTTTGACGGTCCCAGTACTGGCAATAAATTCCAAAATAATTACGCCCCCAATAAGGGTCAGTGGAAAAAGCGAGATACTCCCGGGAAGCGGCTCTCTGAAGAAGATATCGGTGTTACAGAGTATGTTAGTAAACATGAAGGATTTAATGGAATTATTAAGTCAAGGTATTGTAATGACTATTTCATTTGTGTACAGTATGCTCCATATTTGACACGTTGATTATTATAACTGCAATGTGTTACTGTTATTTGCAGATATTCTGACTTTCAAGTATCAGAAATAAATGAGCAGGGTGAGATAGCTAAGCTGACATGTTTGAAGCCGCCGCCGGCCCCGGAAGAGGAGGCTGTGAGTGAGGATGAGGACCTACTCCTCTCCAAGTATAACTTAGAGATCCTACCCATGGAAACTTGGGATAAGATTAATACACTAGCTGTAAGCAAAGATCCTGAGCCTGACTGTGTTGAGGTAACTTCTGTTTCCTTTAAAATATTACTTAAACTTTTTTTATATCATTATTGTATTTACAGTTGTCGATGTCTCTGTGTAATCTGCACATAATTATGTTACAATAATTTAATCAATATTAACAAGAAAATCTTCGATTGTGTTAAAAAAACTTCCATTAACTCGTTGAGTACCATCATTATAGATGTTACCGGCCAAACCCGATTTCAGGACAAACTAGTTTTGCCTAGGCTAAACTAGTTCTTCCTATACGCGTTAGGATTAACTAGTATAGCCTAGTTCAAACTAATTTCTCCTAAGCCCGATAGGATAAATTAGTTTAGGCTAGGACAAACTAGTTGTTCCTGATATAAATACGCACACTCTAGGATAAACTGGTATGGCCTAGTCATAATATGATTATTACATCTATTAAAAAACAGTGTGACAGCCTCGTTGGCCGAGTGGTCGCAAGTGCGATTGCCAGGCAACGGGTCTCAGGTACGATTCCCGGGTCAGGCAAAGTATTACTGGGTTTAAAAAAAACTCAGTGGTAGCACGTAGTCTGGAATTGTGGCCGGTATATGGCAATAGGTTCACCCACTATTACACTATTACCACTATTACATGGGACTCGTAACATAAATAGTGAAAAACCAATTAACCATAAGTTTTAAAGACCAATCATTATGGTTTAATAAAAATGATTATTTTTCAATTACGGAGTATTTTATTCAATTTTTTATGACTTATTTATTATGACGTTCTAGATTTTTTAGAATGTTTAGACTAGGCCATACCAGTTTATCCTAGAGTGTGCGTATTTATGTCAGGATCAACTAGTTTGTCCTAGCCTAAACTAATTTATCCTATCGGGCTTAAGACAAATTAGTTCGAACTAGGCTATACTAGTTAATCCTAATGCGTATAGGAAGAACTAGTTTAGCCTAGGCAAAACTAGTTTGTCCTAAATTCGGGTTTAGCCGGTAACATAGACACAATTAAAAAACAATAAGTTGCGGTTACCGGTGACCTCTCGGTGTTTGACAGTTTAATTAAGAATAATATTTTTTTTTAAACAAAGGACATGTATACTATATATACTATATATAGGAAAACATAATCATAATTGCTGGTTAGATTAAATCAAATCAAATCAAAATCATTTATTCATTACATTTTGGGTTAATTGTTATGATCACAGTATTAAGTATTAACTTACCACCAAAATCTGCCTTCACAGGCATATGAAAATAATATTGTTAGCTTAAGTCAATAAAGATATCACAATAAAAACATCATAGTATAAGTAATGCATTAAAATGTGCCTCGACTTGTTAAATGACTGCCTCGTTGGCCGAGTGGTCGCAAGTGCGACTGCCGGGCAAGGGGTCTCAGGTTCGATTCCTGGGTCGGGCAAAGTATCACTGGATTTTTTAAAAATTCTCAGCAGTTGCACGGAGTTTGGAATTGTGCCCGGTATATGGCGATAGGCTCACCCCCTATCACATGCGACTCATAACATAAATAGTGAAAATCACCCTTCGGGGATAAAAGGCATGATGTTATGTATGTATTAAAATATTAGTGCTTATTTATACATGTACTACAAATTACTGTCTCTACAGAAGTTGTTTACATTGTAATATAGACCAAAAAAATACACAGTTTATAATGCGCTACCTATTGTTCTTTAATTGTATCTATAATGACGGTACTCAAAGAGTTAATATAAACAGTGTCATTTCTGTAATGATAGCTTTAATTTTATAACTACTAATAATTTTATAACAAGTAACAGCCACGTAGTATGAACAAATAGTACATGCAAAACCTTCATATAAAAACCTGGTGCAAATGCTAATTTACAGATTGATATGGAAGGAGTGACTAAGGAACAGAGAACCAAGATACATGATGCTGTGAAGAAAGCATTCGGCGACAGCATCGTTGGCAGCACTGTCAATATTGAAGACAAAAAACTGATGCGCTTCCAGAAGTTTAAAAAAGGCGGTATGTTCTTATTGTTCTAACTCCTTTCCTGCTGCAGGGTGTTGTAGGTGATTGTTTACCACCAGGTGATCCATCTGCTCTTTGAAACCCTATACCATGGAAAAAGTTAGATGATTTCCAAGGTTGAGTTGCATAGTAGTATGCATATAACTTGAAGGGGTGGACTCAACCCTACATTCAAGTTAGCACCAAATATCAGCAGCATATCATGCTATCACCATAATATTACAGCATTGCATCTGATAAAATACTCAACGGGTTTAATCAAGTACTTTACCAGGAAGTTCGAACCGTTTATGAAAAAGTATGTATGAACAAAGCACATAATTATGGTTTTATTGTTAAATTGCTACAGTACGCATAGACAACAGAGTCAAGTGGACCTGGCCGGCTGAATATGTGCACTTCATCGTGCACAAGGAGAACTGTGATACAATGGATGCGGCTATGCGTATTGCAGAACGAATAGGGGTGCAGTGAGTTTCAATTTTGTTTGTTTACTACATACAGTTATTATTATTTAATTAAGATTTACTTTAACATATTCACTGCCCTGCGGAGTTCTATGGTGCCTTAATTAACCAAGCCATTGGGAGCACATTACAAACTTAATATTTAAGTTAATGATTGAAATTGAAGTGAAACTTAATACTGAGTTTAGGCACTGAAATTAATCAACCCTCCATTCGCGCAAAGGTTGCCTGGTAGATATCGTTTTTAGCGATACGGCTACTCTTGTAACCTTCTTATTCTTTGTAAATTAATTATGATGTTGTAAAATTACTGACTTGGTGTACAATAAAAATTATATCCATCTATCTATATGAAAAAATTTTAGTGACAAGGGATGTACAAAAAAACCTCAAGAAAGGCATCCACTATCTTTAAAACACTTTACCTTATCTTACAGAACAACATCCGAAATAGCTGTACATTATGTGAATTATCTGTTGAATCAAAGTTTCTTGCACATTTGAAGTTAGCCTAACTTGTTTGCAGTGTGAAGCCGTCGATGTTGGGCTACGCCGGTACGAAGGACCGTCGCGCTAAAACGTCACAGTGGTTCAGCGCTCGACGACTGGACCCGCGGCGCTTTGTAGCGGCCACTCGGTACCTTAAAGACATACATATCGGGAATTTCACCTTCAAGAATACCAACTTAAAGTTGGGCATGCTTCAGGGCAACAGGTAATAGAGTTAAACACGTTTTTTCTGTTATTGCTGGGTAATATTCGTGTATTAGTTAGTAATAAGAACTTTTTGTCTTATAGATTCCGCATTGCACTCCGCAATGTAACAGCTTCAGATGAGGTGGTGAATACTGCCTGCAAGGACTTGCAGGAACATGGTTTTATCAATTATTACGGTCTCCAGCGCTTTGGAACTCGAGTCGATATACCTACATATAATATTGGCCTGAAAATGTTGCAAGGAAATTTCAAAGACGTAAGATTCTTTTTCTTTTTACTTCCAGTATACTTAAAGTGTAATGTTTTTTTGCTTTTAATTTTTAACCTTCAATGCCTTGTTTTTAAAGTTTTCTAATTGGATACTTTCCTTAATCACTACATAGTATAAAATAAAGTCGCTATCCGCCGTCTTGCTGTCCCTATGTATGCTTAGATCTTTAAAAGCACACACCGGATTTTGATGCGGGATTTTTAAATAGGTAGTCTAGGTAGAAGTGATTCGTAAGGAAGGTTTATATGTATAATACATGTATATTGCACCCGTGCGAAGCCAAATTTGTATGGAGCGTGGTGCTTTTTTGTTTTTTCGCGGCAGTTGATCTGATGTAGAAAAACTGATGCAGAATAACATTACAAACAAAAAAATATATGGGGTCTTATATCAAAAACAGTCCAAACCGAGTTAAATCAGTTCAAAGATGTGAAAATAGTGTCATATTATTCCTGTTATTTTGTTGATAACCGACCGTACACAACGTATATTTCTTCATTTACTTGTCAGAAATATTTTATAATAAATGTTTATAAACGATTTCAAGGAATATAATAAAGCTTATTGTGAACTTTTATACTTAATTTTTTTTGTTATAAGGCCACGGAACCCAGTAAACCTGTAGTAAACTGGCTACTGCTGAAGTAAAAAGAACATTTCGCTTGATTGGCTAGTGTGTTCACTTTATATGTAACTATACGGTTTATGGCCTACGACAGATTTTCATGACCAATTTCCTCTCAGTCGAAAACTCGCAAAATACTTTACTGAGCCCTATCATGAAATGCTATCTTTGTCAGCTGCAGCGTCGGTAGCGGATTGAGTAGCGGCAGTCGTCAAAATTAAAAAAAAAAACAATTTTCTGTCTACTTCTTCCGACTTACTCCGGATTAGTAACTAATCTAACTACAGTTAATACTTTAATCGACAGCTAGCATAAGATTCTGTACAAAGATATCGTCATTCAGTCACAAAGTGATGGATTATATTACGACTGATCATATTACATGAAAAAATTATGCGCTCATCTGACGTATATTCCATCACTTTACGAAGTCGACAGTTTCCTTTCTTCAAAAGATTATGCTAACTATAAAGTAGATGAGTCTCCCATCAGGAGTCAACGGCAAAAAATACTTTATTAGATGTTTGGACGGCTACCAATACCCAACCCACCACTGTTACGACAGCTGACGCTCATGAAGCTTCCTGATACAACTCCTAGAAGCATCCCACATGCTAATAAAAATTAGTGCCTGGCAATATGGATATATTGTGGTGTGATATGGCGTTCCTGTGTCCGGCGTACAATGGCGCGCAATTTGAAGTTAGGAATTGTGACAAAAATATGAATAATTTGAATAAAAAATCCAAAGTAAAATGTTTGACTCCAGTTCCTTTCGACGCTCATAACTCAGTCCAGACTGAGATTTCCATATATGAGCCCATAAACAATTTCGTTTGTAATGTCATTCTAGATAATATTTTCCATAAATCATCGACTGCCGCCAGAAAAAAGAAAGGCACCAATTTTAGTCAATGCCCTTTATAGAAAACTGTTCGTTTTTGATAGTTCGAAAAAAGTATTAAATTTGACTAGTTGGCAAGTACTCAATTACAATCTGAACTCATAGTCCACATTCCATAATGTAGGTATAATGAGGTACATTAAACAAAAGACTTCTAAAGTACTTCATTATATTCTCTGTAAAATCCTAGTAAAAATCTGGCATACATACGTACAGTATTTTGTGACAGGAAGTGTATTGAATTATATTTTCAATTACAGGCGATCGAGTTGATCCTAGACTCCCGCGAGGGTCCCCTGGCGGGCGCGCTGGCGGCGTACCGCGCGGGCGGCGCGGCGGCGGCGGCGCGCGGGCTGCCGCGGCGGGCGAGCGGGCCGGAGGCGCGAGTGCTGCGCGCACTGAGCGCGGCGCCCAACGACGTGCACGGCGCGCTGGCACAGCTGCCGCGCAACACGCGCCTGCTGTACCTGCACTCCTACCAGTCGCTGCTCTGGAACAGAGCCGTCTCCGAGCGACTGCGCAGGCACGGACTCGCGCCCGCCGTCGGAGATCTCGTGCCGCTCGCCAATATTGACAAGGAAGGTTAGTTAGTCTCTCACTTACTCGCTCAGTCACTTTCACTAATAACTCTCACACTCATTCTCATTCCCTTCCATTCCCACACCCACTATACATACACATACTTACACCTCCATACACTTATGTCGGGATACTAAAACGCTACTCGATTTTAAATGGCGCTTAAGTATAGTTCTGTCTCCACTAATTCTTTGTAAAATGACAGAGATAGCACGATATTTAAGCACGACTTAAAATTAAGTAACGTTTCAATATTCCGGCGTTACTCTCCCACTCATTCAAACTCATACGCTCATTAACTCGTCGAGTACCAGTTTTATAGACACAATTAAAGAACAATAGGTCGCGGTCACCGGTGACCACTTGGTGTTTGACAGTTTAATTGACACTCACTCGATTTTATCTATTCACTTTCATTCACTTATACTCGCTATCCCACCCACTTTAGTTCAACTTTTATATGATCGATTTTTATTAATGTTTCGATACTTACTTTCTAAAATTACCCAGATGAATTCGAAGATGAAGATTCAGATGCAGAAGAGAATGAAGCTGATGGTAAAAGTGATAAGCAGCAAGCAAATAACAGTCCAAATGACATTAAGACTGAGAAGCAAAGTATCAAAAAAGAAAGGACATCATCGCAATCAGATCAAAGCAGTGTCAAGGACAAGGAAAAAGACAAAAAGAATTCGTCTAAGGACGAGGAAAAACCAAAAGTACCAGTAAAGGTGTTGACTCAAGAGGATGTGGACAGTGGGAAATATACCATGGCAGATGTCGTGATGCCCCTGCCCGGGTACTCGGTGGACTACCCGCCTAATATGCTAGACTATTATGAGCAGCTACTCAGTGATGCTGGTCTAACTTTAGACATGAAGCATAAGATCAAGTAAGTTTTCAAGTTACTTAAGTTTATTTTTTCCTTCCTTGCAAATCTTTCTCTTACAAATATATTTGACGTGTTACTTAGAATATTATGATGATAAAAACAAGCTTTCCTCGTATCAGAATGTGTTAATTTCTTTTGGCATCTTGTAGGTTTTAAATGATGTTAATGATGCCCAACATCTGGTAGTAGAATGTAGCAAATATGTCGGAGGCTGAGAATCACTGATACGTGAATTTAAATTGAATGCGCTAGATGTTGGATGTTTTTCCTCTATTCTAGCGAATCCCACTTCGTCTGCAGCCCTATATAAGATCTTCATGCATCAGTGATACTTTGACCAATTTAATTAATTAAGTGTGTTAGAAAAGTCCGTAAAACCATAGGTGATAAAAAATGTCCCCATTCACAATTGAAAGTTATAGTAACTTAAGGGATTTAGTTCAGCACTCAGCAGTGTTTTCTTATATGATGATTTATTGCTTTGAAATGGAGATAACATGCATCATGTCATTCCAGGAGCTACCGTCTGTGCGGCGCGTACCGTCGCGTGGTGGTCCGTCCGCGCGACGTGTCGTGGCGCGCGGTGCGGTACTCCGACCCCTTCGCGGACCTCATCGCCTCCGACCTCGACGAACTCAACAACAAGACTATCGACGCCATCCGAGACGGTAACTACTTACCTACCACTTCTCTTTGACTATATACACTTGTTAACCGTAGTAATATCGTAGTATACTTACTTTAATTACGAATACACTTCTGATACATAGTAAACATCTTCATGTTAGAAAATAAAAGATAGGTGAATGAAGAAAGATTGGATACATTTCTACCTTTACTAAACAGAAACTTAGCTTAGTCGAGCATGTGAAAGTATACCTATGTAATGTTTTTATTGAGTTCATTATTTTTAATTTTATTGGAGTGTAGTTTCATATAAAAGTACCCTTAACCGACGAGCATGCATGAAAAGACTGATGACAGATGATGAAATGAGGAAGTATGTAAGAATCGTAGCAATCGGCGTTCCATAGTCTCTACCTATCCCAATGGGAGACAGGCGTAAAATTACGTATGTAGTTTCACATATGTAAATGTAAGTTATACCGATAAAAGCAATACTGTTTTATCCAGTGACTTCATTGTTTCAGATGGAAAATACAGAGCACTTCTACTAAACATGACTCTGCCCGCAAGTTGTTACGCGACAATGGCATTGAGAGAATTACTCAAAGTGGACACTTCGAGTGATAACCAGGCTTCTCAGAATAATTATCATAAATCTCGTAAGAGTTCGACTACTGAGGAAAATGAGGGAGAAGAGAAAAAGAAGAAGGAAGCTGACAGCCCGGAGAAGGCAAAAGGAGCTGACAGCGCAGAGAAAACAAAAGAAGCTGACAGTGCAGAGAAAGAAAGAGCTAACGGCTCGGAGAAAGTAAAGGTGGAACATGACAGTGAAGTCAAATTGGAGATTGAGGCTGAAAGTGGAGAGAAACGTAAGATGTTGAGTGAGAGTGAGCAGACAGAAGATGTAAAGAGACAGAAAGTTGACAAATAAATAAAAGAGTTTTTATTTTAATGTTGAAACTGTATTTTATTTGTGTGACGTTGCGGCTGCTTTGGGTAGGTCGGGGAGGCCTGGAACAAAATAAATTGATGTTACAATATTATCGGATCATCAGTTACATACGATTACGTAACAGACGACACATTGCGGTCGGATAGCGAAAGATACCGTAAAATTGGAGTCCGTCTTCTCTTGGTTCATCAGGAATTCCAGATAGATTTGTTCTAAATGATTCATGGTCCAATATATGTCTCCTAGCCTATATACTAGTATACTAAATATGGGTTTTAAACGTTATAAGTTATTATTAATTGGCAAACAAAGCAAACAATTTGTATTTAACCTTATTTTCTTAAGTCTCAATTTGTGATTACGTATGGTAGGTGAGAATTTTAATTAGTTTGTTTAGCAATTTTCCCACCCTCGTTGATGACGGATGTCAGACAGGGAAGTGTAATTACTTGTACGATAAGAATTTCCATACGTGTAAGAGTCCAGGGCCGCAGTGGCCAGGCGTGTCTCGCGGCGGCCGCGTGCGCGCGCAGCTCGCCCGGCGTCGGGAACGAGCGCGGGCAGCACGCGCACTTGTGGGGCTTGTTCTGGGACATACCACGTAGTTGTATTAGGGACACAGAAACACAACCACACACTTTATGGAACAAGCCGGTAAACGAGCAGACGCATCACCTGATGGTAAGCAATCGGCGTCGCGCATGTACACTTTGGAAAACCAGAGGCGTTACAAGTGCGTTACCGGCCTTTTGGGGATTAGGAATTTGAGGATTGTGGAGGATTCAGGGATTGGGGAAGTCAGTAATTGGGCCTCCGGTAACCTCAATCACACTATAAAACACAACGCAAGTGTTGTTTCACGTTGTCTATTTTCTGTAAGGCCGTGGTATCACTCCGGTCGAGCGGGCCCATTCGTGCCGAAGCTGGCTCGCCCACACTTGAAGTTATAAAAAATAACTAAGTACTTACATAACTTCACGGTTTTCAAACTTTCAATCTAACTTTAATCAGTTAAGTTAAGAGTCCCATGTAGATATAGGGCAAATCGATCGTATTGCCATATTTAGGTAGGCACTTCAATCATAAGACTCCGTACTGAGCAATATTTTCGAAAAATCGAAAGACTGTAGCTGACAGTAAATTTGCTCGCATCAGGAACAAAAAATCATGAGTTAACCTGATTGTCATTCGCACTTGCGACCATCGAAGAAACCGTGTTAAATACAAATTAAACGGCTAAGTACGTTACTTCTGTAGGTTCGAGATATGTAGGCGTCAACTACCCAACTGCCACAACTACTTACCTTCGTGTGGGTCATCCGATGATAGTACAAGTTGGAACTAGCAGTGAAACATTTGCCACATTCTGGACATTTATGGGGTTTTTCACCTGCAGGAAATTATAAGCGGTATGTAACAATCTTATTGATTTTAATGAAAGTAGGTACTTAGATAGGTACCTAATAATTTAGTATAACTAGGTAATTTAACAAAGTAACTCACCGGTGTGTATTCTCCTGTGCGTGTTCAGCGAGCTAGATGTGCTGAAGCCTTTATTGCACACGTTACAAATGTGTGGCTTTTCGCCTGAAACAATACGGAGAAGCCGATATTATTTAGATCGTTAATACCATTAACGTTTTGGGACAAGCTCGCCACAACCTGATAAATACGATGCAACACGTGTAAGCCAGGATCTTCAGTAGATACAACTATGAAAACACAACAAGTCCAGCGTGTCCCAGAGACATGAAAAATTGTTTTGAATCCCTCAACGAAACAAATCAGAAGATATAATTAGAGGAGGAAAATAGATTTCCTTTTCCTCATTATTTTTTTAATGCAGGAGACTGAGGAGACAGAATGACGGTCATGATAATGTAATGTCTGTCCACTCAAATTGTTCAATTTAAACTTATTTCTACTTACAGTTGTAGTTACAGTTATTATCTTAACTAGTCAGAAGAAACTCTTTTTAACCATCACTTATGACAATTGGGTTTACCCAATATCACATTCAGTAGATTTAATTAGACTGTGGAGGGGAGATGCATGGCAAGTGCTCCGTGTAAAACTGTAATTTAGCGAAATCTGGCTAAAACTCGCTACTTAGAATACCGACCTCAAACAATACCTACCTAATAAAGAAGTGGCTAAAAGAAAGGAAATGTCTTATATAGATTCCTAATTGAACTGCTCGCTATCACTAACATGTGAGTAGGTACATTTTTTTGGTGCTTGTACAATAAAATCTTAATCACTAGGATTGATTCACAGGGGAAAGTAGAGGGAACCAGATCATGAAGCAGATCACTTATGCGCCAGACTGATAGAATCAAACCGGCAACAATATCTAGTGTCAGACTGCGCCAGACAATCCACAAACATGGAAAGATGGCGGGAGGTCGTGAGGAAAGCAGTATCGGCCTCCAACACAAATTAGGCCGCCTCAACGTGACCACGCCCGCACTGCCAAGAGCAAATCGACAGATAAGAAAGAGGATTGATTTACTTACCTGTATGCGTCCTCATATGCCTCTTCAGCAAGGAAGGTCGGTCGAAAGTCTTCAAGCAAATTTGACATGGGAGTATGTTCTTCATATTCGTGGTCTTCTGAGGCAGGCAGAAACTTTCTTTGCCACAAACCAAGCTCGTCCTTTCATACAACTTGACTAGATGATTATTCAGCCCTTCTAAGAACTTGAAGTCGATTATGTTTATCATTTTGTTTAGTTTTTTGCCCTTTGTTGATAAATCTAAGGGTTCTGTTTGCATATCCATCTTTCTCCAAGTGACTTGTTTATTCACGGCTTTCAAAGTCACTGGCTGAGCACCAGTTACCCTAATAGTGGTACGGATTTCCAGATGTTGAAGAGTAACTACAATATGAAGGCTAAGAGATCTTTGGGGATCCGAAGAAACTAATCATCACTCTTGGGATCCATAAGGTTAAAATATTCACTCAGCTAATGAAAGTTGTAACACGAATTAAACTGATTTCCACTTGAATTTTCACAGGTAACTGTCATAATTTCCCTTGGTCCGTCCTATAAATACGTGAAGGGCTGACGTATACAAATGACAGGGTGATATTAGTGTATTAGATTGTATAACAGTTGTGTCGATGATCGTTTCGGAGTATTGTGGTGTCGCCAACAATGAGTTTTGTAGAGCACGGGACACTAATCGACGTGATTTGACGGTTTTTTTGTGTTTTACCAGGAGGGATGTGTGTTTGGATGAGGTGGTTTAAACATATTCTACCAATTAGCTGGTAAAATAATTTCTAGCCGTGTGTACTTAAATGTGTCAATTCAGTAAACGGGCGTACTTTACGTGGGTCTTTTGAAACCAGACTAGTTTTAAGATAGGCTGACATCAATCAAAAAGCTACGAAACAATGAAGTTTGATGCGTCCGTGAAATGTAAACGACCCTGCTATATCTGTCAGATTTCACTCAGGAGTGGTTATATTCCTTACAGTACATCAGAGGCAGTACAAGGAGCAATGCTAACCGTGAAAAAATTCAATTACGTTTTTTTGAAAAACTCATTGCTGTAAGCTCATAGCGAAAACCACGACATAGTTCAAGTAGTTTATAAAAGTACTTTAATTTCAAATACTCTGTAAGATAATATGATTTTGAATTTAAGTAATATAACGCTGTTGAAAATAATCGCCAACTTATCTTAATTTTAATGATATCAGAAGTACGATTTCTCGTAGTACGTCTCGTAGCAATTCTCGTAGCATTACAAGAAATCTCAACTTCTTTTTGACGAGATAAGGACATGGTTTACTTAACCACCTCCATTTTTTCTAACATCAATGGAATGTACTGAAGAAAACGTAATCGCCTATAAAGGTGACGGTGCGAAACTTTAGATTTTCACGCTTTGTGCGACTAAACGCAAGGAAAACGCGCCCATACAAATATTTACGATTTGTCGCATTGTGGTGTGTGCTGTGAATTGAACCTTTCATAAGCTCAACAATGTGTTGGGATATTTGGATCCGGGTTTCGTAAAAGGTAAGTACTTTAAGGGAAATCGATATTTATATGTTATCTAAATTATGAAAATTATCGTTTGAGCAAAATTTGTAGATGTTTGATTGGTTCATGTGCTCTAAAATACACAACGAAATTCATACTTCGTAGTTGGATGTCCAGGTCGAAGAGTTATTCACTGATATCGCATTATTTCAAAAATATAAAACCCAGAATACGCTAAGACTTAAGTACGCGAATCATTTTAGATAGCTGAGTCTGGTGTATGTACCTGGCTGACTGGCTGTACCTGACTGGACCATAAAGAGATAGATTATTTTTATTGTGTTATTGTTTATACAGATGATGAGATTACTGCAGAAACGTCAACCTAATCAGTAGATACAAACAGTTGTACCTACATATAAACTAAAACACAAGTCATAAGCAGTTCTTTAGCATCAAAAAAGTATTGGTATATTCTAATCACTCCGCACAAAAGCAAAGTTCACGCAGTTCTTTAATTAGCCTAAATGCTTTCATTATACTAAAACCAACAGGTACACAATTGTTGAGGGAAGTGACGCAGTAGTTTGCTTCTATCATTCTATTGTGTTCACCCTATACTGCGAGGCGATTATTTTAATAAACTCTGCAACTGGGTTAAACATGGTGTATCGGTAATGTGATTGATCGGAATATTGTTGTAGGTATTATGTTTGTGGTTCATCGTGTTGGGTATAAGGAACGTTAGTCGGTAGATACGTCGATATAGGTAGGTAGTTATTTGTTATTAGTATCGATTTACGTTTGTAAGGTTGGGTAGGTATATATGTATATATGGTTGTAGTTAACTATGTGAACGATCATGTTCTACCACGTTAATTCATACCCTACGACTGTTTTGTAGTGAGTCGAGCCTGTGGCCGACGACGTGGTAGCTAGTAGCTATGGAGTCTGGATTCGAGGGTAACATTATGTTAATGGCCGCCTTTTATCCCCCAAGACTTATAAATCTGACGATAAGTGGTTTGCATTTGGCGACAAGTTTGAGAAAACACGTTACGTAGTACATACATGTTATAGGTAAAATAAAGATAACTAAGATCTTACATTAACCTTTTGAGTACCGTCATTATAGACAATTAAAGAACAATAGGTTGCGGTCACCGGTGTCCTCCGTGTTTGACAGTTTAAATATGGAATCACATATACTCAATGATATTATAAATAATAAAAAGAGGTCGATATCGCACTGGCACGCAAAAATTGTTGCGAACGAATTCAGACAATTGTCGTAATTTGTAAATAGCTATCTCTTTCTGTACCATACTTTCCGTATTATCTGTCGCACGTAGTTGAAAATGACATTTAAGTACATTTGTAATAAGAACGCAACAATTTTTGGACGCCGCTTAGTATGAACGTAGCGTATCTTCTTTATAATATCATTGCATATACTACCATTTCTGGTGTTGAAATTTTTAATAAGTTAAGTCCACTAAGTATATGTAGGTAATAACTATTTAATTATTTTTTTGATTGTTCATAAATCATACTTATCATTACACCTTTTAATGCCAGATCCGGAATCGAGGTACAAGTCCATATAACAACTACATATTTCAATCGATATTTTCGCTAAAGAAAACACAAAATATTACTTATGAAGTAAAAGAATCAGCATAAATCGATCTGCATTCGCTACAAATAACATTCTCAGTAGATATACTCGGAGATACAGAACTCTGAGATGGTCGTATACGCCTCGGAATTACGCGCGGAACAATCGAACGTTTTATTTTCTTCTATTGTTATTTTCAACAAAATTCTCGAAAGCTATTCAAATTCTGCTTTGCCTCTTATTCAAATATCCTCACAAATCCGATTTACTCGCTACTTGTTAAGACTCTTTGTTTCACATCTACCTTTCTTTTTATTTATTTTTCATCTATTCGGAGGTAGAAGGAAAGTTTTATTTTGTCCCTGTATATCCTCAGATAGCTATGGACAAGTATACCTATATGTGTTGCTTGGGGTATTTTTACGGTGAATTTGGGTCAGAACTTCGATTGTGTACGGAAAATTTACTGCGAATAAATGTATTTGGGTTGTTTGTGTATCGGTCGTTTTGTGAAGCAGCACTTTCTAAGCTCCCAAGTATTATTTAAGATGCTGTTGATATATTTTGGCCTGGAAATAATAATGTTTGAAATGGGCAGCTCACAATGGCAATATATTAAGAATACTTTAGTTGATATCATAATCCAATGGCCCCTTTTTAGTCCTGACTTACAAGTAGGTAATTCCAAGTTTGTTAACGTCTTATTGTTAACATAGCATATAACAGACAAGGCAGAGTAGGACCTAACACCTGATGTAACTTATGTTAGGATTTCTATGTACCTTATATAGGAAAATTCCTTCACCATTTGTTTTTTTTTATGGAATAGGAAATGCAAGCGAGCAGACGGATCCCCTGATGGTAAGCGGTCAGCGCCGCCCAAGGACACCCGCAACACCAGATGAGTCACAGGTACGTTGCCGGCCTTTTAAAAAGGAATACGCTCTATTCTTGAAGGTTTGAAGGTCATATCGGTTCGGAAATACCGCCGACAACAGATCATTCCACAGTTTTACTGTGCGAGGCAGAAAGCTTTTACCAAAAGTATTTTAGTCTCAACAAAATAACGATAAAGGTATCGTCATACGTCATGTCTGTCCACCCCTCCAATGAAAAACGGACGTGACGTGACGAAAGGCACTCTATTTTCAAATATAAAAATATGAAAGTAAGAAACAAAAGGTTCCCACAATATTTTCGTCAAATTACGCGCTGTATCGATCCTGGCGAGCGTCTGTTGCATAAATGCATTAGTCTGAAGATAGGCACCTCGCACTATTGAGTAGCAAGTCATAGGCTGAAGCGGGTAATGTGTGTGCGTTAGCGGGTGACTTCAGGTGGATACTATTTTTATCTAAACAGAAAAATAAAATTCTAGTATCTGTTTGTGATATTAAAATAACCATTTTTATTACATGCATATGAATATAAACACGATCCACATTTGGTATGTGCAATATTTTTTTTACATTTTTTTTCTGTCTGTTTGTATTGGCTAATATCTGGAATAGCTGAACCGATTTTGCAAGACTTTTATTGGCAGGTAGTTGATGTACTAAGAAGTATCCTAGGCTATTTTTACATTGGAAAATTTGAAATAAAAACGATATGTTAAAAATTCATATTCTACGCGGACTAAGCGCGGGTAACAGCTAGTAAATATTATAAAGAAACATGGGTGTAGTTTGAGGCGATTCAGTGTTTTCCTCTGTCTACCCAAATTTTTATTTAAGTAGGCTTTATTAAGTTTGTGTGATCCACAAATTGTTGTTTCGGGTCTGGGTGTCATTGTGTATGTGAACTTGTATATTTGTAAACACACCCACGACACAGAAGAAAGTCCTAATGTGGGGCAACATATTAAAAAAAAAAGTTTCATTTTCTTACTGGTGTTTCAGATTTTTTTTAAATTCTTGAATGATAATGAACTTAGTAGGACTCTTAGTACTTAGTTACTTCTTAATAAGACTAGACCAACTCTTTATCGACCATTTATTGAAGTAGGTTTCTAAGAAGAGAAGATTTTTCATAACCAACTACACACTTCACAATATCGTAAACGAAAACAACGCACAAATATCTTTTTTTTTTTAATTCAACTACACAACTTGTATGAATCATACATTTCTTATAACTTGGGCCACCCGTGGACCTCTGCGTCCTCCCTA